AATAATTTGTACCAACACATGTTTTGATGCAGTGGTAAAGAGTTATTGACCCTCACTCTAATAAAATAACTCTGAAGTCCAAAGAATATGATATAATGAAATAGAACCATATTAATAAGTTATTATTCTTCTAATAGTTTTTTCCCACTTTTATAATTTTTTTAAAATGTTGACTACAATGGACTGGGTGATGTTAGACTGTTGATCATATTTGCGTCAACAATGCTTACACTAATGTTTTTTAGTTGACACTAAAAAATTTTTCTACAACAAACTTTTTTTGCATAAGTAATGTTGATGCAAATAACATTTATTTGCATCAATATTTCATGGTTGACACTTAAAATGTTGATGTTTTTATGTTTGCATTCTTGTAGTGGCTGCAATTCGTTACTAGATATGGCTTTGTTGCACTATATGTTAATGTATTTACTTGTTTAAGTTGTTTTAAATTTTTATTTTTTTTATTTATTAAGAAAAAAATGTTAAATTTTATATACTTAATACTTGACGGGACTCTAAATATCATTTTCATAAAAAATTGATGGATTTTCTCTGATTCTCGGGTCTTCATGTATTCCTTTGTTGCTCCACATGTGTAGCCATAAGCACATATTGGTGTTGGTTCATAGGCCTGTAACTTGTCCCAAATTGGCTTCAATTTGGTGAAATATGCAGCCACCGTCTTGGTTTGCTGTGTGAGAGTGGCCAATTCACGCTTCAATTCATGCACCCATAAGGCATTGCCTTGAGAAAACGCTCTTGTAGATCATTCCAGATTTCATTCCGCCCCTTCTGCATATGCAACACTGTCATGGAGATCCTTGGAGATAGTATTCAAGATCCAAGAGAGAACCATAGAATTGCACTTTTTCCACGTTAGGTAGTCTGGTGAATTCACTACTGGTTTCTTGAGAGTGCCATCTACAAATCCCATCTTGTTTGCATAAAGGGCATTTTGCATTGCTCTTTTCCAGGTGTGATAATTTTCTCCATTCAGTGGGGTTGCCACCAAAACTCTTCCAAGATCATCGCTTGGATGAAGATAGTATGGTGAGTCTGGGTCACTTGTTTTAGGGGTTGTTGTTGCTCCCCTTGATTTCACAGATCTGATCTCAAGTGTCTGATCTCTCTCACTCATTTTGCTAATTGTGTGCAGCAAAAAAACTTATTGTCAATGCTACAATATGCAACAAAGCTTGCCGTCAATGATTTTCCTAGAACAAGTTATTTTATTCGTCTTGGTCATTCACCTATCTCTTGGAAGTCAAAGAAACAAACTACGGTGTCCAAATCCTCTACTGAAGAGAAATACAGAGCAATGGCAAGCACAGTCAGTGACTTAACATGGCTAAAATCATTATTGTTCGATCTCCAGGTACCTCATCCAGAAGCTATGACCCTTTATTGTGACAATCATGCTACTTTACATATTGCAAATAATCTTGTGTTTCATGAAAGAACTAAACACATAGATATAGATTGTCATTTTGTTCGAGAACGCATTCAGAAGAAGCTCCTTGTCACTGCACCTATTTCTTTTGAACATCAACCTACGGACATTTTCACAAAGGCTTTGGGGCGAGAGCGTTTTCTTTCACTACCATGCAAGTTGGGCATTTGTGATCTTCATGCTCCAACTTGAGGAGGAGTATAGGAGATATGCAGGAGAATGTTGCGGATACAATTAAGGACCTGGTTATGGAAACAATCTCCATTGATATTGAATTTCCACCGATGATTTCCCTCTATACATACTTCCCTGGTTCACTGTACTTACCGTTACTTAGCGATTGTCTAGGCGCCATCAATTTTACATATCTGTATATATATGATTTACGGTGCATAATGAGATTATCACCTTCCACACAGTTTTCCTTCTCTCACTGATTTTACAGCCTATCCAGCCATTCGAAGATTTCACTCCATGGATTTGGGCGGTGTATCTAATTCCCCCTTCTGGTTTGTCCGGTAGGAGTAAGCCGGTAGGAATCACAGCCTATTTATAATCTTCTCAAATAGATTCAAGTACTCACCTTCGTGCTCGGGACAGCTCCTTATAGCCACAGCTTGAGATGATTGTAGAATTTAAAAAACCCTCGGCATCTTTCTTCCCAGATGCATTCCCTCAGATGCCTTCGTATACACCAATCGCCTCAAAACTCCGGTAAGCTAGTAAAGAAGGGAAATCCACCCTCTCAGGTGGCGAGGTCAGGCTTTCGGGAGAAGGCCTCATTCTTTTCTGACCATCACCGCCCAAGGATTGTGGATGTCCGAGGAAAGTGTTTCGGCAGCTTCGCAATCCAACACTGTTGAAGTCCTCAGCTGCTTCTACACCTGAAAATCCCGAGGTTGTTTCCTCGGGAAAACACTCCAACGCTCAAGTCAGCAATGCTCAATACTTTAGAGAGAGAGGCTCTCAAGGAGTAATTGCAGAGAGAGAAGCGTAGAGATTAATTACCTTCTTTGGAGGTGGTTGGGGGGTATTTATAGCCCCAAGTGCTGACATGTATCTGCACATGTAAACCTCTCATTGGCCCACGTGGTGATGCCCACGTGGGTATGTCCCCTCCTCTTGGGCCTGTAGGCACGTAGTTGGGCCTACTGTATGTGGCCCTCAGAAGGCGTTGGGCCTAATCCCAACAGAAAGCATAAGCGGCACTTGAAAAAACGGAGAAATGGATGGTAGGGATTCGGTGCTCAGCTGCTATTTCAGCTGCCCAATAAGGTATTATATCCAAGGTTGTCAAGATCGCGATTTACATCCATTTCTCCGTTTTTTCAGGACAACGATGAAAAAATATATTTATATTAATAATTTAATTAAAATAATATATATTATAATTATAATAAAATTTATATCAATTTTTATAATTTGAAATATCAATTAATTAAAAAAATTCAACTGTTTGAAAACGCATTATAGATGGATGGGCGGCAGGGTGCATGCCATATATGAGGTAGCTAACCCCTACATGATCAGCAGTGCACAAAAAATCCACCTCCGATGGACTTATATACAAAATATTCAAATCATGGTGGCTAAAAGCCTAAAACCCCATTTTTGTAAGTGCATCAACAGCCATATTGGCCTCCCTCAGCACATTCTTCACCTGGACTTGGGGAATGATGTGCAAAAGGACCCTGCAATTCATAATAAGAGTGCAGTAGAACTCCAATTACTCATTTGGTTGTCTTATAAATTATAACTATAAAATAATAGCTTTTCATGAGATTTTGTAGGGATTTAGATGCAATTAATTATGATTTGCATGTCTCTTTACATCAACTTAATATTTTATAAGGATTTTGTTTTCATAAAAAAATATTTAAGATTGCAGTTTCAAAAAGAAATTCAAATAGGGGCTCTGGCCCAACCTCAAAAAGGCCTAAGGCCTGGCTCAAGTCTCCAACAAATATCGGCCTCTTTTGACGTGGATAAGGCTTTCGAGTGTGTTGCAAAAGAAATGGGAGTCGTGGAGTCTGAACTCTGAAGTGAATGTGCGGCTATGCCAGCCCAACTAATGGAATATCTTATAAAAAAAAAAAAAAAGGAAACAAAACCATATGTTTATATGCTTACAAAGCTTAAATTTGATTTGAGATGAAGGAAGGAAAATGAAAGCTATGTTAATGCTTTCGAGATTTTCACTTCAAACTTTAATAATAATGAGATACGAGATAGCTTTTTTATGTCATTAAGGAAGTAATTTAATTAATTAAAAGTTCGAGACTTTTTTTTTTTTTATGTTGGTTGTATAACGAGAGGTAATTCTCTCACATCTCTTATCTTACCGCACTCGCATGCGTTGCAATTAGAATTTTGGATCTCTTTTTTTCAATGAAAAAAAATTATCATTAAACTATTTAGATTATTAATGAGATTTCTTATTAAAGTCTCAATTTTCAAACTTAAATTGATTGAGGGAAAATTTTTGATAAAAAATACTTTTTTGTTCAGTTAAATTTTTTTTTGTATAACTTATTACTAAATATATTAAAATAATTATTAGAATCGGGGTCCATCTCACCTCAAACTTACAAACTCCAATCATGTGATATCAAATTAAAGCCCATTTCCTATATAAACATGATTTCTACTTTCCTTTTCTGATCTAAAGAATATAAGGGAATGTTTAGATTAAAGAAAAAGAGAGAGATACACTCTCAAACCGACACCCTTACTGCACATAATCGGTTTAATAAATAAAATATGATTTAATAGAGTTTGGCAGGCATTAAGAGTTTGTCCCTTGCTTATCCAGACTATCATTTGGCATCCATTTGTTCTTTCGAAAATTTCTTGTCGGTAGCTATCGCTTGGAACCCACTCGATCCCTTCAAATTCTACAAATCCAACACTCATTCATCCCAATTTGATGAAACTTGTCGATTGTCTTTCCCTGACCTCCATTTTTTCCAAAACAACCACAATCACTCCATTTTTTCCAAAAACAGTGCCAATCACCATCGATATACCAAAAATTAACTGAGCTACCACAGATCCTATCTTCACCTTCATTCCACCCTCACCCATGTCAAAAAAGCTAGGGTTAGGACCACTTGGGTTTTGTGGGTTTCCAGTTTTAGACAACCCAAAAGCACACTCATCCCTTACTCTACCTGCAAGAAAACTAGAAGCTATTAATTTTTATATTTTTTTCAATTTTATATATTATTTTTGAATTCTTCCAATCTTGTTTATTATCTTTCCCAGTTATTTCAATTATTTGTTATCTTTAACGGAATATTCTTATTCTATAAAAAATATTTAGTCCTCTAACTATATTTCTTTTGATCTTTTAGTCTTTAAATTTATATTCATCATAAATATAATTTTTAATCTTATTTTGCTAAATGTGTTATTCAGAAAACTATTTTACGGATTGTATGCAGTCTATCCTATAAAATTATTTAAATACCCTTAATTTTATTTTTATAATATTTTTTCAAGAACATTTAAATAATTTTTCAGAACAGACTATATAGAATCTGTCTTGTAAAACATATTAGTTGCTCAAGTTTATTACAAATTTAAACTAATTTATAAAATATTTCTTGAGTCATCATATTTTATTAAAATTATAGGATCACTTTTTCAAAACTGTAAGGGTTACTCTTTTCGTTAAATCTAACAAAATTTTATACTGGTAAAACTATTTTGAAATATTTCCAAAGTTTATAGATCATTTAGAAAGAAAATAAACTTTCTAAACTAAAATAAAATTAAGTTTATACTTAATAGATTAAAGATTGAATTAAGCCGTTTTACAGTTGCAATAGCCTTTAAAAACTCGTCTAGCTTGCTCGCTCAAACCTCTTCTTCAAGAGCACAACAAACTTGCTCAACCCCATTTTTCCCAACCAACTATGATTGCTCATAGTCTCTTTTTTTCTGCTGCACACTCACTCCTCTCCCAATCAAACACAAGGAACTCATTTGGTGCAAGAAATCACCCAAACTAGACAGCTACATAAGTATCAATAAAATCCAACGTCTCTAGTACATTTCTATACTCATCAAAATACATAAATATCAATAAAATCTATCTTCCACAAAGTTTAAGTCGATCCCTAAATCGGGTGAACATTCCACTCCTCCAATAAGGCGCGTGGCCATCAAACTGCTTTAGTAAAGTTCAAATTTTCAAGACGGTGATAGAGTTCGAAACTCCGACCACCTCACCCAAACACTTAAGGTTTGGGATAGAACCATTAAACTTAAAGGTTCAATTCAGTTATATCAAACCACACTAAACTGCAATAATCATCTCACTTCATATTCTAGAATTTTCTAGTTGATTAGGGTCAAAAAATTATTTTCCCGATGAAAGTCTTCTGATTTTTATGAAATTTTCACTAGTTTATTTAATTTCAAATTTAGATTTATTCGATTCATACTAAACACAAGTCATCAATTGAGAAGAAAGGGAAATGATTTCGAAATTGAGAATCAACTGGGGAGAGAATAAGGGAATTCATTTTGGCTTCTACGTTAAAGAGAAGGAATGATTAGGAGAACTAGAGAAGGATTTACTGTAAGAAGAGTTTAGAACCTACTACAATCTCACATTCCGTTTCACTCAAGTTGTCACCATAATTTTTGGCTGAGAACTTATTTTTTTATTGTACGATCAGAAATAATTATCTTTTATTTTTTGTCTCATTTCATTTGCATATCATATATTTTAAATTTTAAATTTTTTATTTTTAATAAAAAAAATCATTAAATTACTTAAGTGTTGACCTTAATTTTTCAGTTTTGACTTAACAACCAACAGTCAAGTCATTTAAAATCAATTTTATTTAACTTTTAATCAAATAAATCCAAAACTTAATCGAACCATTCTTGTCATGTGGTTGTATTGGTTTTCAAAAAAAATTTCCATCATAGATTTTTTGGCACACCCGTGCCTTTTAGAGCTCACGCTGATAAAGGATGACATCATTCACATTCACGAGGAAACAAATAATCAAAAGTTCAATACTCCCCGAGTCACCTTGTGAAGGCATATAATCAAGAAGGAACTTCCTCCCACGTTGAGAAGAGAAGATTCCTCCCATGTCTAGAAAGAAAGATAACACAATTAGAGATGTTGCTACGTTCAGGTAGAAGAACAAATTTATCTAGGCTTCCAATAACTGTACAGCTACTTCACGGGCACAAACCAACTGTTAATCTAAATTTAAAGTTTTCAGAGATCAACATAATTACAAATAATGAACCATTTACTAGGAATATGAACCCTTTATATATTGTTGACAGCATAGTGCAAAACACACACATATATAGACTACCCTATAGCAATTTAAGACACCTTACAACTCACACAAGACACTCACAAAGAAAAAACAAAAGGGGA